CCCCAAAACCCCAAAACCCCAAAACCCCAAAACCCCTTTTTAGGGAAAATAGTTGAAAGTGAAGAAATAGTTTGCCCTTAGTTGAAGAGCTGACTGTTATAACTCATTGGTCAATTTCAGAATTGAAGACGAATGAATTATCCAGGAAATTCGTTTAAAATATATGCCATTTTTGGATAAATTTGGGATGCTTCAAGGGATAAATTTAGGGTTGAACTCTTTGTAAAATTCCTATACATCGAAGTCTCTATTTAGCCAAATTCTTCTAATGTTTTCATTGAATCAGAATGCCAGACGGCAATCTGAAGAGTCCTGATTTTGAAAATACCGCAATTTTAGGACATTTTTATAAGTTTTAGCATCATTTTTGGGATTTCTCAAGAATTTTGCTCAGTTAAGTAGAGCTATTAGAAATAGGTGAACTCTTTCACCACTCAACCTAAATTTACAACGATTGTTCTTTCTATACTGAGACCCTTATGAGCGGAGTTTATGGAGAGAGGCCACAATTTTGGGATTTTATACAAATTTCAGAGGCTTATAAAATATTTCGGTTTGATCAGAAATTAAGATCAGAATTATAATATAAATTAAGAAAAGGAAAGATGGGCATGGAAAAGTTGTTATAAAGAATATGTCTTATGTATAGTCTGAGCAATGGGCTTGCTGACTATGACAACTTCTCTATTCTCCTTCGCAATCTCTATCTTGGGTCCTTGTCCGTCTTCCCAACTTCCAACTTTTGCTGAGGAAAATGACTTTAAAGTAAGAGGGTTATGAATCTTGGAAATGGCTGAGCTGCAAGGGCCCAACTGATGGAGACCGTTTGGATTACTCTGATTTGCTCAAGAAGCTTTTGTATACCTTGAAAAAGCAGAGTTTCAAGGAGAAAATAGTTTGCGGTTATTCAGAGCTGTCGTAGTCACTTGATTCTTCGATTTCTCTTTGGCTAGTCTTTTCTTAGTTGGTGTTTTAGTATTCTGGCTCTTACTCTTAGACTTAGGTTTAATCAGTGCTTCTAATTTGTCCATGTTTTTGACCTCAAGGAATGATGGAAGGATTGCTCCTCGTCCATATCCATGCCTATCAACATTTAAATCAGGAATTTTTGTCTCTAGTTGACTGTTATCTGAAGCATTAGAAGAGAGAACTGATTTTGAGTGAGAATCTGAAACCTCTGTAGTTTTAGTTCTTTTAGTCTGCTTAGGAGCAGCTTTGAACCAAGGTTCTTCTTGTGATGCATCATAAATGCACTCAAGAAAAAGATCTTTCTTCTTATACCCTAATTTGGTTTTCTTCTCTTTGTCTGCTTTCCTCTTCAACGCTTGTCTACTTTGAGAATTTTTCATGCTCATCTTGATTAATTTATAGTAAAATTTATAGCAAGTAGTATTACCAATAAAACTCAGATTACTCGGGGTTTTGGGGTTTTGGGGTTTTGGGGTTTTGGGGTTTTGGGG